TGAGGGCATTGCAGTAGCCATGCTTGGGCCGGCGCTGCTTTCGCCACCGGTAACCAAGGGAGACTGGAGCCTATTTTTCGAACGTGAGCCTCTGCCTAACCCACGAACGCGGACCTTGTTAACCCGGGCGACGTCCGAGCCGGTATCATACTTAGATCTGGTTACTACCATCATAAATTTCTCCACAGAATGTGGGTGTGTGGTCACTCTTAGCTTCATTTCTCCCCATAGACCTTACTGGCATGGGTGTCCCTACCAGGAGCTTGTGCTCCAGCTTGCATTGCCCTATGGATCAGTAAAATTACTGGGCTCTCCCACCACGACCAGGTGGTGACCACGGGAGAGTTATTATTATTATTTTTATCTTCTATTAGTTTGTATTCCTTATTTGTGATGTAATTTGTACATAAAAATAAATGTTGTTTCTTCCTTCTTTCTCCCTGTATAATTTTTTTTCCATAATAACAACTGTATACCTACTTTTGCAACCCCCTGTATATTAACAATAATAATTTAATATTAAATTGTCATAATAATATATTATTGAAAGTTTTTTTTACCCCAAAGGAAAACCTTCCTCATTGTATGATGAATCACCAGACTGGATGGCAACATTATACATGGGGTATGAGAGTAGCCATAACCCAACTGCATGTCAAGAGAGTTATGAAAGAGTACATAATCAGGAAAAATCCAGCCACTTGTAAGATTGTTATGGTCCATAAAGATATGTAAACTTTCATTTGTGAAAGACTGTAGTAATTTGTCGTCAAAACCAAATAGTATATGATGTCACCAAATTCTACTTTAGGCCATAACTCTTGATCTACAACAAAGACCCTAGCTTTGTATGGATCAACACTTTGACATAATGAAACTTTCTCTTTTTATAAAACAGTATCTCATCCTGTCAGACTGCAAGAATAGCCCACCAGAAAAGCATCTTTTTTAACTTTGTCCATGATATAAAAATACTGCAGTTCTATTAAGTTTAAATAGAAAAAAAAACACTGCCAACCTGTCATAACAAACAACATGCAAGTGGAAGCTAGACCATAAACATGGCAAAGGGGCAGAGCAAGCATGTGTTTTATTACTTGTGACCTTAAAACCTCTCTATTGAACAAAATTCTACTTCTAATAGCAGTATGCTCTGAAATTCTAAGAAACTGACAAAGAGACATCCAAGCTTTGACATTCTGGATTTTGCTGAAATTTTAATACATTTTAGCACACTTCCCATAAATGCATGATAACATACAGGGTTCCTAACCATCTGGGAAGTCAGGAATTTTCATTAGTATTTGGAAAAAGTCATGGAAAGTTGGAATTTGTCTCCTTGGCTGTCTTGTTCATTTTGTTTGCTGGCTGTATGTCTGACCACGCGTAGCTGTCTACAGGCAGCAAGAAGTAATGTTGTGCAATGCAACTTATGAGCAGTGGTGCAGAATATTCTCAGGACCCAGGATAAAATAAAACCATAATTTATGAACCAATTAATAATTATTACAACATAGTTTGGAAAATTTGAGTTAAATCATATAAATAATTAAATAGGTCTACCATACAATTTGCCATGCCAAACTAAACTGATAAGTTAACAAAAATATTTGATTAAAAGCACACTAATTTAAGCAGGGTCACCATCGTAGGATAGCATAAATTTTACTTAACAACATAAGAAAGTTAAATCTACAGAGACTTCTTTTTCATTTAACAAGAAATGATGTCACAATTTTTGGTTCTTTTCTGTTAACGGGATGTCAGTTATAACTTTAATCCAATATGCAATACCATCGTCCACTAAGACTGTCGTATTTAACTATTTAGTCCATGCAACTGTGCCAGCTTCGAGTAGCCCACTTGACTGTTCGTGGAGTACTTGATGTTATATGGTTTTAGGGGGTGTAGAGCTTGCCTCCACCCGGTCACCAAAGCACACATCTACATCCAAAACATATACAGTAGAGCGTCGTTTATCAGTAAGCATTCCAGTCAGCAAATTTAAATTTTCGTTAGTGCTGTGGCACTGCAATCTTTGGTTATATCTTGGGCTAATCCAATATTTTTTTGTTGGTGTGTGTTTTTTAGTTGGCAGCACTGGCTCATTTGTGTGCTGTTTTTTTGAGGACTGTGCGTCGTGCTGAATCGTACGTTTTTGACACTAGATCATCATCTAAAGTATATATTTTTTGGTTTTTATATTTTTCAATATATTTATTTTGTTTGTAAGAAATAAAGAAATAATTTTTAACTATACAATAGCCAC